TTTTCGCAATCGGCCGGTGCTCGACCTGCGAGTTGCCAGGGGGCCGACGAGGGCAGGGGAATCCCGAATCAATGAATTTCGCGGCGGGGTCGCGTCCTCCGGAGAGGTCCGGTACCGGATCTCTCGGACTCGCGAAAACCTGCGCCGCGCCGTGTACGAAGGCGGAACGCGTCCGCCTCTGGTGCGATCCGTTATCTCTGTGCTTCTAATTTATATTTATCTTATCACCGCCGGCGCTTCGCAGACGCGGCGTCCAGCCGGATTTATATATCGAGAGACGATATATTTATTATCTTTTGTACGTATAGATATAAAACGTTTGGCAAATTTTAACCGCTTTTATTTTTACTTGTTTATGGAGGAAATCAAGTCCCCCATTATGAGACGAGCTCCCGACACGAGATAGCGGCGTTTCTGCTTAATAGGCATCGTCTGTTGGTTTCGTGCATGAATTTGTTGCATTCGAAGCGAAGCGTGTCCAGTGGGAAATTCATTGTCGGATCGCGTAAACGTTGCGGAGAAAGATTTTCGATTGAATTTGAATGTTGAAAGCCTACTATCTTATAACAGAAGTCTATCTCACGTCAGGGGACTTTTCTCTATCGTTTATATTTAAGGATTTCGCGGGAAAACTAATTTGAGATTGAGATCACACACGGGGCGCGTTATATGCCTATCTAAGGCTGTCCAGGTGTCTGTTATTCTTACGTAACTTTCTAGCTGCGTTTCTCGTGCGTTTTGAGACGCGAGTGACGCAAAAATTCTCATTGTCACTCTACACCTGTAACATTACGTCGTTCCGCAAGCGGAACAGGCGATCCTGATGACCGCTGTGGTCTCTCCCCCCCCCTCTCTCTCTCTCTCTCTCCCGCGCTTTTTCCCCCCTCTCTCTCTCTCGCCCTCGCCCTCGCGTCTCTCTACTTTCACCTGGATCTCCGCTAATGGTTACATCCGCCAACCTGGGAGAGCTATGCCCCATTTACGATAATTTCTCGAACCGGAGACGAGTCGCGCGCGCGAATTATCTTACGCGGATATCTCCACGAGCATTTCTTAGCGGCGGTGTCATATTCAGCATTGGAAGAAAACTATTAGGAGATTCGGGAAAAGATAGCAGTTAGGCATACGCGTCTCGCTCGATGGTTCCGCACAAAGATACAATTTAACAGTGTAAGACCCGGATTTTTACTTTCTGATTAACTGTTAACCGGAGGTTAATTAATTCGCTGTCTCTTTTTAGATAACAATATGAAGAGAGAGATAGAGAGTCGACTAACTGGCGGTCAACAGTTAACCGGAGAATGAGAAACCGGACCTAACACATTTTAAGATTCACATATCAATGAAATATCGAAACTAGATTTAATATTTCTTTTTTACAAATAGACTTTTTCTCGAGAAATTTATCAGGAACCACTTCTGAAACTCTTGTCTCCCGTTTCTTCAAGTAGAGGAAAGTCCTCCATTATGAGAGGCTTGTAATATGAAATAGCAGGTTTTCAACATCAAAATGTAGTCACAAATTTTAATATTCACAACGATTACACGAACTAACAATGAATTTCCCACTAAACACATTTTCCTCCAGAGGCAATAAATTCATGCATAGAACCAACCGATGGTGCCTGTTAATTTAGCGGTAAACCCCGCTATCTCATATTAGGAGCTTATCTCATAATAGCGGACTTTCCTCTAATCATTTTTTTCATAGTATCGAACTGCGATGGCCGTTTACCGAGGAAAGAAAAATCGCTTTTACTGACTTGGGGCTCTCGGAGAGGCGCCTGTTATCTCGTCCGCCATAGAGACAGAGTCACGTGCGAGTTAAATTGTTAAATAATCGACGCCGGGGAGGATGAATAATAGCCGGGCTAGATCGGACGTAATGAGTACAACGAGGACTCGGTTAAGTAACGGAACGTAGACGCACGATGAGGGAAACGGGACGCCGTCGAGTGGAGTACGGATCGGCCGCTGTCGCTCGTCGGCGCGCACACTCGTTTGCGGCCTGCACAAATCGTTCATTTCCGCATTGCCCGGCGGTTTATTGACACCCCGGGCACCGAGCGTACGCATTCAAGGTGCATGCCTTCGAAGAGCCGTTCTTCCCCTCCCCCGCGAATCGATCCTCCGCATTTTTCTCCCGCGCACCCGCGTCCTGAAATTCCGCAAACGCGGTCGCATCGGTGTTGCCTTAGCACGCGATCCGCGTGCACGCACATAAATTCCTCCGGGTCCTTCGAGAGAGAGTGAGCTAATTCAAGGACCTTTCGGAGGCCGTGAAGCCTCCTCGATTTTTACGCAGCTTCATCCCCGCGGCCGCGCGGCCATAAATCGACCGAGTCCCTCACTGGCCGGCCGGTCGCGCTTTCGTACGCGCGAAAGGATAGAGGAGATAAGATCTGAACAGATACGAGATGCAAGGTTGATACCAAGCGCGTCAGCCCCAAAGGAGGTCCGCGGATCTCGCATCCTCCCGCCGCCAGTGCCTGTAGCAGCGGAATCTGACGCCTTAAACGCCTTTACGGGGGACCAGGGGCCAGTAAACCCAAGACATAACGTCAATATTATAACTTGTCACTCAACCGTATGAATGTAATATAATACACGATGAGCAGGAAATTATAATATTGATGATGAAAACACTTAACTTTTAACTTTTTAATTTTTCTTATCATTAACTTAACTTTTAATCCCATTAATTATATCACGGATTAACTTGTATCTTAACTAAGTTAAATTTTCAAGGCTGTTAACTTTAACTTAACTTAGTTTAAAAAAAAAGATAACTTGCCCAACGCTGCGTATAATAAACAACTCCCTGTGTGCCGATGGCTAAGACAGCGATTTTTAATAATTAATAACTCGTTAACTATTGTAAAAATTGCAAAGTGGTAGAGGACTTTTCAATTCAGTCGAATCTGCTCTATCTGTAAATAAGAGGTGAGGCGGGTATTACGTAACACCCTGTAGAAAGTAACTATTAATGTAACTGACAATAAATTACAGTTACAGACGGAGAGAAAGTAACTGTAACTGTAACTTCGTTACAAGTAACAAGTTACTTCCCAACCCTGACGATATGTAACTGCTGGTGTTTACCATGGGAAGCCACCATTTTTCGTGTTTTAAGCTCGTGATTTCTGAAGCTTGTGAGTTCCTTGTGTCCACGATCCAAGAACTGTGTCCAAGTTCTAGTTCCGAGAGACGTGTAGGCAGTCAACTTGCATCTTTTAGTCTAATCTACAATGTGTTTTTCGCAACGAGAAACATTCCGTTTTATACAGGCAAATCGATTGCGCTTCAAAAATATGTCGACAACGCACGATTGTGCAATATACAGTTTATCAACGCGCACGAATTTTTTAAACGTGTTTATTGGCTGTAAAATAAAATGTTTTTAAATACAGGGAACGCATTCCCAGTCAGCAAAATGTTTTAGCAGATTGGCAGTAGATTTATTAGGGCCAGTTTCACAAACGTCGGTTAACTGCTAACCGAAGGTTAACTGATCCTCTGTCTCTTCTTAGAGAACAAGATAGAAAAAGATAGGGCGTTGACTGAACTCTGGTTAACAGTTAACCAACGTTTGTGAAACTGGCCCTTAGAAACCCACACCAAAACCATAGCCATCTGTGTCCGTATTTGGCTTTTGTTTTGGCAACAGAGTCTGTAAAACATACGCTGAATCGGCAGAAACCGAGCAGGTTCAGTTACATAAGCGGATTTTGTTGTATTTCTGCTGACATGCCGGCAACGTGTCGAATATATCAGTTCCTGCAATCTGCAGTCTTTCTGCCTTCAAAAATTTGTAGTGGACATTTGACGAAATCTGTTCTGACAGATTTATCTGGATTGTAGATCGGACTTTACGGAAAAGCTGCAAGTTCATTGGCTTTACAGCTGCTTAGCACTCGTTGCGCTGTGACTATCAATCCTCTTAATACTAAAATCAATAGTTAGAATGTCATGCGAGGCATATCATTCAATTTCGAATTCTGCTCTCTCATGAGAGCTGGATTTCCTCTTACAATTAGTTAAGCGTCTTCACAAATTTTATCCGTAGAAAAGTTACAGATTTGACACAGGACCTGGCATGTACAATTCTGTTGGCGGATTGGTAGAAGCACAGTAAAATTTGTCAACAAAATACGATTTTGTTCGATGGGGAAAATCGAGTAAACATATTTGCTGCACAGTTTGAAACCGATTGGCAGCGGAAATAGAACAGGATGTGTTGCATGGACATGTGCTTGTCCGCCGCCAATCAGGTTATATCAGCAGGCTCTGCTGACAAAATTCTAGCTTAATGCGAACACAGTCGACGCCAATTTACTAGCAATTTGCTGCCAATTTGCTGACATACCACAAACAGCTTGCCTACTGGATATTTACGAAGTCTAATCAGTCATGATTCATTAATTGATCTTTTCCAGTGGAATCTTATAGCTGTGTCAATTCTTCACATTTTCCAGATATTATTGATATTAATTTCTATACGAAATACTCTGAGAGACAACAAATTGAATTCTTATCGCGATAGACTCGCTTTCAAGAAGTGTCAAGGCCGAAGGGGAAATCGCCGAGGGAATTGTGGTTTACAGATTTACGCCATTGCAGGGCATTTTTTGGGCACTAGTTTGGGTATTAGGCCTTGCTGGGGCATTATAAAGATAAAATAAGATAATAAGATTAAGTATTGCCCACTGGGCACTAGGATATCTCTAGAACGTTAAATAGGTACACTCTGAGACCGACATATACGAGTATATCTGCGATCATCTTGACGAGACCTTTCGTTTGGTACCTACTTTGCGACCCAAATCGAGTGCGAAAAAAATGGGGCCGATCTTGCTCTCACTCTTTACGAATTTTACAACTGTTGCAAATTCACACGATCGTTGACACTTCGAGTGCCACTCGCGACTTTGTTACACATTTACAAATGTCTCTGGAACCGGGGAAGACTCGTATTGCAAACGATTTCGTCTGTATTGCAGAGATACGTGGACTGCACGGTACTGGGCACGGGCAGCATGCCGGACGCCGAGGACTCCTCATACGACAGCGACTACGAGGCGGAGGACTCGACGACGGCAACGGCGACGACGACGTCGTCGACGACGATGACGGCGACAGCGGCGGGCCGACGTCCACGCTCGGAGTCGCAGGTGTCCCCGGCGCACCCGGACGTCTCGCGCACCACGTCCGACACCTTGGCGGCCGAGTTCGCGGAGTACGTTACCATCCAGGGGCCATCGCCCACGCAGAGCCCGGGTAGGTCTTCTTGAATCCTCCCTTCTTTGTGATCGCTAGAACCGAGGGAGAGGCGAGTTTCGAGACGACAGAATGTCTCTTCAACGAGAGATAATTCGGTCAATTAAGGAAATGTTGAGTGAGGTCTTAATTGGAGCCTCTTGAAGAGGTCACGCTAATCAACTTTACGAAATAAAGAACGGAGAAAATTGACAAAGTTTCAAAAGTTAATCATATACTCTAATATTAAAAGACTTCGAAGATAACTTGACCATGTCTAGCAATTTTTATGTTTAAAACTCACAATGTTTCGACCATGGTTTGTGGTCCTTTTCAAGTGATATAGTGTCAAATATTCAGTGTGATAAATTAAAAGAATAAAGCTTAGGTTCACGAGAGGCAGAACATAACTGATCTGTCAGAATTGGCTTCAATTTTCGATTCCTAATGCCAGTACAAGGAGACAAACGACAGAAATTCTGTCGAAATTTTAATATCAACAAAATCCATTCGTTCAGGTTACACCGCTCGCGTCGAGTTCGCCCTTAAGCTGGGCTACACCGAGAAATTGGTGCAAGCGGCGCTACAGAAGCTGGGCCCGGACCCGGGGCAGAACGAGCTGTTGGGCGAGCTTATCAAACTCGGAGCTACTTGCTCCCCAAAGTTCACCGACGGTTCCGAGGATGCGGACGGTCTGCTGGACGCCGAGACGGGCATCGACGAGGGCGGAGGGTCGATCCTGACCTCGACGACGGCGACGAGCGCCACGGCGACGAATGCGATCTCGCCGATGGACCTGAGGCCCGTCGTCATCGACGGCAGCAACGTCGCTATGAGTCACGGCAATAAGGAGGTGTTCTCCTGCCGCGGCATCAAGATCTGCGTTGATTGGTTTCGCGCCAGGGGCCACAAGGAGATCACCGTTTTCGTGCCCAAGTGGCGGAAAGAAGCCTCGAGACCCGACAACCCGGTCGCCGACCAAGAGATCCTAGGCGAGCTCGAGAGAGATCGTCTTCTCGTGTTTACACCCTCCAGGTTGGTGCGGCTCGTCCGAGATTCGGCAGGATTTAGAGGCAACTCACCTGACTTTACGCGGAAACATTTCTCTCGCTTTCCTTTTGTCTTCAAGTACTCTTGGAACAAACCGGATCAAATAATCAGACATTTAAGTCGAATATCGGCGACCACCTAATTAATATGAAAATCAAATTTGAAAATAAGTAAGGGGGGTGGAGAAGTGAATAAGTTAAATGTTTTCGTCTAAATATCTAATTTGCACAAGTCACGCGAGTAAAAATACGTCGAAACTGTAAACAACGAACTGCTCGCCTCGGCGATCGGAAACGAGAATTTAAAACCGAGATCACCGAGAGCGGGAGCGAGAGATGTCCCTCTCTCATTCCAGCACCTGGACTTGCTTTGCCACCGGCTAATATTATCCGGAGCTGGAATAACCGGCCCAACGTTCTATCTGTCCGCGCACGATCTATCCGCGTGGACTTAAATCGTCTCAAGGATCTCCCGTTCCCTCTTCTTCGGTCCTTTTTTTTTCTTTTGCGCTCTTCTCGGTATTCCGTTTCCAGAAACAAAAATGAGGCGCTCGACATCGTGCGTCGCGAATTCGTAGGTTTGCAAGTGGATTCGTTATTCCGATTTTCTGGATCTGTTCGAATGTAAATAGATGAGTACGTTAATTTAAAAGCACTTAACTGATTTCTTGTAATATTTACATTTGTATATCACGTCAGTTTGTATCGCATAGTTGTTTATACGATTATAACGTTATTATATACAACTCAAGATACGTGCATTGACGCAAAATTATTTCTTATTTTTTTAACACGAATATTAAATGTCTGCAGGTTGGTGGGTGGAAAGCGTATGGTGTGCTACGACGATCGGTACATCCTAAAACTGGCGGCGGAGGTCGACGGCATCGTCGTCAGCAACGACAACTATCGGGACTTGGCACAGGAGAATCCCGAGTTCAGGAGGGTCGTCGAGGAGAGAATTCTGATGTACAGCTTCGTGAACGATCGATTCATGCCACCGGACGACCCGCTCGGCAGGAGCGGACCTACCTTGGAGAATTTCCTCAGAATCGCTCCTAAAAAGATCGATCCTGCTCCTCCGTGTCCTTACGCCAAGGTAACACCCCCTTTTTTTGTTCTTTCATACCTGTTTCACACCATTCCTGTTATCTTACCTTCAGGCTTCATGGGGCTGTTTGCTAAAATTGAGAGACTGAAATTCAGATTCCAAATTGAAACGTTGGATCAGGCGATGCTTGTCAATGATGTCAAATATCGTACGCGTGCTTTTAGAATTGAATTAAGAATGACTGTCACTTCAATTGTCAGAAATGTACATACGGCAACAAGTGTAAATTCCGGCATCCCGAGAGAGGTCCACACCCGCATAAATCTGTGACGGAGCGATTGGTGGAGCACGCTCAGCGCCACTTACAAGCACGTGGACCCAGCCTGAGCCTGCCGCTGCCGTCCACGAACGCATCCGTGTCCCCGCAGCATCCGCCGCTCTGCAAGGCCAGATCAGCCGTGCCGCCGAATGTCGTTCAACCTTTGTCGTCCGTCCCGAAGAGCAGATCGGTGGAGAACGTCACGTCCGACTTGTCCGCAACTAGTCCCGCCATGTATAACCAGCAGATGCCTCCTGCACAGAATCCTCAAGGTGATAATCAAGGATAAACCCTGGGCACGACAATCTTTTATGAATTATTTCACAAAAAGAAAGACATTATTCTTTTAGTACCGTTCTTTTTTATTTCTTTCCTTTCTTCATCATCAGCCCGGATAATCTAATAATCTTGTGTTTTTATCGAAGGTTACCCATCTGCGGTGAACTGGACCACGCCAAGAGTAAGCAATCCCGAGCCAGAACCGGTGAACATGCATCGCAAGTTGCAGCGGCAGCTGACTCTGAATCCAGCGTGTGATCCGCGGCTTTATCAACTCAGACGATATCATCAGCAACAGCAGCAAACTGGCCAGTCGCCGCAGCAGCAGCAACAGCAATCGGTTATCAACCCACCGCGCTCCGGTATGCAACACCGACCGCTGACGAGACTCACCAGCAATGAGTCGTCGTATCCAGTTACCGCCATGAGGTGAGTCCGCTTTATCTGAACGTATTCGTGTTTCATGAATTGGTATATCATAATTATATTATAGCGTAGATTACATGGATGGAAAGATCTTTCACGATAAACGCCAAAATAAATGATGTGTTTCGGTAGAAAATTGTCAAATATGAAATTATCAACTAATATTTGACGATTGTAATGTTAATCCGTTATTTTTAGAAAATAAACGCAATGGTGATTTAGGTAAAATTTATTATATCAGGTGTAACACAGTCTTTTTAATGAGCTGAATGTACTCGAGTGATCTCTACTTGGACACTTGCAAATCTTTATTTCAGCTGGGACCATCCCGACTGCCTTCAGCATCATCACCAGCACGTGATGCGTATCGCTTCCGCTCCGGATTCTTATAGAGCGTGGCCGCCGCGCGGTAACGCCCTAGTGCCGCCGTCACGGGTGCAGAGGCTAGGCACCTCGGACCCCCAGCTGAATCTGTTACCATCGCCGCCGTCCGCGAGCTTGCACGTGCCCTGGGGCACGCAGACCCAGGATGTTCGACGTCGCCTGCACTACCACCTCGCCAACATCTTCCCGGAGGAGCAAGTGCAGACCGTCATGGCGCTTCATCCGCATGAGACCGATCCTCAGCAGATCTGCGCCGCCATTCTGGCGATGTTCCCCAAGAATCAGAATTGACGCGATTACGAATTTCGCATAGAATATTCGTGGATTGGAGCATTGAGGAAACTACCTACGTATGATAGTTTTTATTATTTTTTGTATATCACAGAGAAATTGTAATGCAGAATGTAAGTCTAACGAGTATCTGCATTAATTAATCGAATCGTTACAAAAAATATTTGTATTTTTTGGATCTTTATGCCTTTCTCTCTTTGTTCTTCGTCTCTCATTCTCTTTTCTGGAGTACTTGTTGCGTTTTCGTCCTACTAGCCAAGATAAGCTAGTATTTCTTGGACGGAGAAAGCGAGAGATAAAAACTAATAACGTGGCACAAAAATCTAAGAAACGTCCTAATTTTTCAGATGTCCACTTAGATTGTCGCATTGTTTGGGAGTGATTAACGAGAGAGAAACGGTTGTGCATGATGAGCGCGCATTAGTCTAGGGCATTACAACACAAATTCATTGTTATATTATTCGGGGAGTAAACGGTGAGAGGATCCGTACTTTAATCTGTCGTTTTTAAATGTAATAAACATGCGTCATCGAATTATCGTCTCACATTGAGCCGATCAACTTCTGTCTTGTCGACCGCGCTCGCGAAATCGTCTTGTTCCTTCGCCGATCCCTATTTACCGAATTCCAACTAAACTTTATTTATCGCAGAATAACGATTTATTGTAGAATTCTAAATATTGTAGATTGCAATCAACGGTATTTTTTTACTTTAAAAAAGATTAACAGATGACTTCGTCAGTTTCGTCAGTTGTGTCGCGCAAGAGAAAGAGAAGACATTGGTCGTTGGCAGGTTGAAAGGAGATGTAATTTTTTACACAAGACGATGCCGCGAAAATCGGTCGTTTATATTAGCGGCTGTGAATTATGGAAAACCCATATATATATACGTACACATAATTATCTGCATGCATATATACATGTAGAGCTATGTGTATGTATATATGTATATCGCCCGGCGATATTAATATATGTAGTTCGTATTAATATAGTACAGGATGTATAGAGAGTCCAATTACAGTCAATAGAATCGAGTCTCTTGCGAGATAAACAAGAGTCGATCTTTTGACTCTTGTTGATTGCAATTGGACGTTCTATATGTGTATAACACACGAAGAGCATTTCGGTGACCTGAAACAGGACGAATAATATCGTGCAAATTGTACGAGGATTAATTAATATTTAATCGACTTTTATATCGCTGTTTTTCCACCTCACATTGGAGAATATTGTACAGTATTTTAATCCACGGAACTGTCGATTACATATTGCAGCTGTAAAGCTTACGAAGAAAAAAAAGGACTAATTTTCGAATGTTACTTTAACTTGATTCAGTCAGGATACATTAAGAATTTTTATTATTTACCATTCAGAATCCATTTGAAATCTATCTTTTATTCGAGAGGTCGTAGAATAAAAAATAGAACGTCGTTAATGGTCCAATGGGCTGAGATTAATCCTTTTATGCCAGATGTGTTTATTTTTATAGCAAACGTATCGCGGTATTTTTAAAATAACTGAAGAGAAAATGAATGATTAATCTGTAACTAATACAATTTTAAATACTGTTTTATGAAAGTTTATCAAATTTTATGTGCGTGCGTGTGTGTGTGTATGTACGAAAAAGTCATACGAAAAGTTAATCAAAGAAAGAAGTAAATTTGACGAGAATATTTTAACAAGTGGATATTTTACAATTTATAGTTCATTAATAGTATAAAAGGATTTATACTATTACTAAAGGATTTTTATAGCCCCCCCCCCCCCCTACGAAGATCGCGCGATCTTTTTGTCTTTTCCCCTCGTCTTTCCCATGTTTATTTAACACAAATGCTACATAAGATTTTAATATATAAATATATAAAAATATATATACATACACGTATGTGTGTGACATGTGTATACATATGTATAATGGCAAACATGCCTTCTTTCCCCCTCGGAATCGCAATACCGTGTATTGCTGAAAATCCGCGAATTGCGAAGCAAATACTATATATATATAGTATGTTGTACCTAACAAAGAAGCGAAAACATTAATTATTCTGTACTATGAAACTAAGAAGGAGGAAGGCGATAATCGTTTCGGTTGTGGAGAACGATTATTATTATTATTAATTTTTATAACTGATGTTAATCTATTTGCGTATGTGCGTGTGGAATTTGTATTAATGTTATTGCGAATGGATATTGCAAATAAAGGTCTTTTTCTTTTATTTATATTGCCGGAGTTTTGTATACACTGAAAGGATGTTATAATTTCTAAAAATTGGATGACTTAATATATTAAGGCTCCAAGTCTTGCAGCAGCAATCTGTCCTGTACATATACGACGTTGCGGATATCCTTCTATTTATTTATTTCCATTTCCGGACGAGTGCTTCGATCGACGAACTGTGAGATCGTAAGATGATCCTACGTTCCAAATAATCGAAACAATTTCGATAAAATCAATTGAGCCTAAAGTCGAGTAGAACGAGAAAATTAAAGAAACAAATTGCACGATTAACTAATCGCCTGTCGTCGCAGGTAATTTTTCATACATTATAAATGCAATTGCAAGTACACCATGATAAGAACACGACAAAAACATCTTGTTCGTATTACCAAAAAAAACGTATTGCTACGTGCGCACATTTGATAGTCTAGTCTCTTTTCTTTGCGCATTTCGAATACGGGGAACGCTAATGTCGCAGTTCGTGAGTAATGATTTTTCATTCATTTCATTAAAAGTTATGTAAATGCACGTGTAACGCTATCAATATAACTTTTTCTCTTTTAAGAGCTGGTTTTTCCAACTTGTTGGTAAGATAACTACTAGTTAAATTTTATGTCTATCTTTGCCTAATTTGAAGGAAGAACAAAGCCTATGTACGATTTAAGTAAATTAACTTACCAAGAGATTAGAACAACCGGGCCTAAGTTTGATGAATTCATATACACATTCAATAAAACTCTATACACTCATATGTGCGAGAGTTATCGCTGGCCTATAGATTTGCACATGCATAGTTCAACGATATCTATATATTGTGATTACATTTGTAATTGTTATCACGGACAAGCGTATCTGCAAGGAAATAGAAGTTCGTTTAACTTCGAGATGCTTTGTGCTCTAAAAGATTAAGTAAAATCCTGACAAATCATTATACATTGGACATGATGCTTCAGCGTTCGCCGTAACCGAGAAATGCCATCGAGAAAATTTCTTAATCTGTCGTTCCATCAATATCAATTCATTCTAATTTACAAATTACATAGTCGCGCGTCATCACATTTAATCTCCGCAAAATCATCTCTATAAACTTATACGTAAAATGTAATATAGGTACATTTGTATATACCTTTTCAATATTCTAAGTTACGAGCATTTTATTACACTGTAACTCGAAATTACGAAGGACTAACGTAAACCGGAACTATTTTATGGTGAAAGTATCGTTTATTATACAAGAAACACGACTTTTTTTTCATTTATTTGGTCTCATATCCCCATGGAGTGTTTCTATGAATGCAAATAAAGAATAAAATTTATATCATCTTGTTAAATATTGTGCTAATAATATTGTTAGCATATTATTGTGCTATGTTAGCTAATGTTATTATTAGCATTGTTATGCTAATTATAACTTTACTTTCACTTTATTTTATGCTGGTAAAATTATGCAATTCATAAAAAAAGTATCACCGAATCGTAAAATAATTCCGATTTTATCACTCACACTAGAAATTACAAATACTCCTAAAGTCTGATGACCCAAAACGGTCTGAAAATTCAGATTTTCATTACATAATTGAAAGTTCGTAAAGTTTCTTTTTAATAATTTTTGATTCATCTTACGACCCGCTAACTGACCGTAAGAAACAACTTATGTTAGTATTTTCGATATTTCTAATATAGATTTCTTGTACACATAATCAGTTACACATTTCATACATCCGATAACGCGCGATATGGTACTAAAAGTTGTAGAAGTAACAAATTCATTAGTCTGTCTCCGTTCTCTCGAGAATTGGAAATGCGAATGCAACTATGTCGAATTTCATTCTGTTTCATTTTATCGAATCAGAGAATTCTTTCGTAGAATAAGAGATACGCTTGACTTTGCAGCACTGTCTTTTCATCTACCTCTGATACCCTGCAACAGACACAAAAGGTAACAATTAATAAATGTCAAAATGATGAAATAAATTAGCGTAGAGAAAAGTCCCCTATTATGAGATAGACCTCTAATATGAGTTTTCAACATCCAAATTTAATCGCAAACCTTTTTTTCGCAACGTTTACATGATCCAACAACGAATTTTCCACTAAACATACATTTCATTCCAAAGGCAATAAATTCATGATAAAACCAACAGACAATGCCTATTAATTTAGAAGGAACCCTGCCATCTCATATTAGGAGCTTGTCTCATAATAGGGGACTTCCCCTAATAATTACACAGATATGTGTGTATAATAACATTCTCTTACCGAGAATCTGATACGTAATACCATCTTCCAGGCGGTGATTCCACAACAGACGCAGCTTTCGCTGATGCTTCTTCTCCCTCAGAATCTGAACTACTCGATTCGTTATCCGCCTTGGGATCCTTATCCTTGGGAAGAAATTTCCATCGAGGATCATCTGGCGATAACGGCAGTCTTGTCTAACAGAGGTAAAAGATTCAATAAGTAATAATTTTTTCAAATCTGTCATCAAGTACATTGTATCTCCGTACAACGAAAAATTATCAAAAGCAAAGCAACTGAAACATCTAGTATGTCTCTACTTTTTCTTTCATTTATAATGCAATATGATTGTAGTGACTTTACAAAGTTCTTTCGATATATTCATACAAACAAAAAGATAGTAAGAAACACACGTCTAGCGTATTTTCATTTAAAGCTATTTCCAATATGCAAATTCTTGTTTAAATTCTTTTAGAAACAAATTATTATCTTATTTTCATAAAATGTCGAGTGTCCTGGTTTTAACGTTCTAAAATGTTAAAAGCCGACACGTCGAATACGATCTACCTTGACATAAGCACCGTAGTGACCACCATGGACAGTTCCACTGTGCTCAACGACCCCATAAAGCGCATAAAGTCGAGGTTTTTTGTGATCTGTGCAAACCGGTGCCAAGTCTAGCAATATCGGAAACGACACGTGCTTGAAAACCTTTCGGAAGCCGACTCGCTGCGTTTGAAACCTCTTCAGATGCAGTATCAATATCGGGGGTACTTGAGAAATAAGGTATTGCTTGGTACTCGAAGTGCACACCATTTTCGACGAGCCCTCTTGATTCTGAGGAAAAGGAAAAGAGAAGCAAAAGTAAGATGGCGTTATTGCAAATTCTTGCTCGCGCAAAGATACGAAAAGGAAAATGTTACGATTCTCACATATTTCCTTGAATATATCGAGTTTCTCTAGAGTTCTTGAAGGATCGTTTTCTGTTCTTTTTTAATTACCTTCTTCTCGCGAGCCGTGCACGCCTCGCACACGACTTTGTTGCTTCCCGTCATCAGCTCTAGCGCGGTGAATTGATTCAAGCACGATTCCACAGAACACTCGCCCTCCTTGGTCGTATATCTGCCGGGCGATTGATGTCCGGCAATTCCCAGCCTGGACATGCCCGTCATTATATCACCAAGCTCATTATACGTATCTTGTTCCTCGGGATCATCTCCGTTGGAAGTTCCGTTATTATATTTCCTTCTGTCGCACTTCGATACAGTAGTTGCCATCCACGTCTCAACACCATCCAATCTGATAAAATACAACGGTTAATTCAACGTTCAATGGAATCTAAAAGGAACGTACAGTGCTTAAAATATTTTTAATTGCTTATAATTTCTATAATTTTTTTAAGTCTGAAACATTCAAAAGCACAGGTGTTCAAAAAACAGAAACCTACAAGACTGATTTCTTTACGCGCACGCACATTAAAATTAAAGAATTAAAACTGAGAAAATCTGAGGCTTAAAAATCATAAAAAATTGATAATCAATAAGCAAGTTTAATGAAGCTCAAACTTTCAAAATGAAAAAAACTTGAGAGGATATACAGAATTTTTATATCTCAAAGATTAAAACATCTGAGTGTCCGACCTTTCTGCGACTTCTTCGTCATTGACGGGGCTAGTGGGGCTCTCCTTGGAAGCTGCGGAGCTGCTTAGGCTCGCGGTGGGCATCTCGGGACTCGTGACGTCGGAGTTGACGATCATGGAGCTAGTTAACGCCGTGGTCGACGCTTCGTTCTCGGAGTTGACCACACCGACGTTCCTATCAGTCTTCTCGGACGGTATCCTGATTTGAGTCAAGTCCGTCATCGACACGTCGGTTGGACTAGGGCTAGTTAACGCGTTAATGTTCACTGGGTGTCTAACTTGTGCTGGGTCCAGGTTGTTGTCCAGACTACAACCCTCCGAGCTGGCCACGCTATTGAAGTCGTTCGGATTAGGATGGTGATCGGTGGGAGATACAGGACTGGTAACGGCAGACGCTTTCTCCGAGCTGTAACCGGACTCTCCGACCTCCGGATGAGAATTATCCACCTCGATGTTGTCTTCCACGTCGGCGTCGCTCTCCTCTAAAAATACGTTTTCTTTTTTATACAAAGCTTCGTTTTTACGAGAGTCAATGTTGAAAGTGGGAAAATGTCTTCTTTCCAATACATTTGCGCGCGCGAGCGTATATCGCATTAAAGAGGTTCGAATTGTTATACATGTACAAGAAAAGAGATTATACCTGACTTCTGAACATTGTCGTCGTTTTCTTCCGCGGGATTATTCCATTCCAGATCCATTAACACATTAGAATTGTTATGATTTTCGTGCCTCTTATTCCTAGACATAACTCGGTTCTTCCTGGCCCCCCTTTTCTCTTTCTTCAACTGCTTCCACGATGTGTCGGAGGTTTGACAATCGCGTTGCTGAATGTTCATCATGTCGAAAGTGTCCTCGAATTCGCTGTTCTTTCTTCTACATATCAAGATGATCGTATATTGCTTCAGATGATAACAAAATTAATTATCGTAATCTAAGAAAGAAATAAGATTTCTCTTTACTTCAAGAGCGGAGGCTGGGGCTTGTCCGCCGTGACGGGTAGGCTCAAATCTAGAAATGGCTCGGAGCGTTGCGACGAGTGATGGCAATCCAGGCACTCCAGGGTAGATACCAACACACCGCGGAATACCGCCTCTGGCCCGAGCAGCCGTGTGCTGGCCTGATTGCCGTAGAATTTCACGCGAGATTTCAGGCTCTTCTCCACGCAATCTGGCTTGGTTTTCTCGCTCAGGCCGACCTCCTTCAAAATTATGCTCTGGTATCTCTGCAGAGCAACGTAAAACATTTTCAATTTACTTAGAGAATTCGTCACATCATGTCAAATATATTAATTAAGAGGGCTTCCTCGCTTACTCGGAGATCCTCATTTCGCACTATTTCCAACAAGTGTCGGAGAAACTCGTGCGAATCATGCTGCCCTCCGTCCACGCATTGCGTAGTCTTTTTCCTGAGTTTACAGAGGAGATTCAAAGGGGTGTAAGTTTGATGACCGTTGGTGCTTTGCATTTTCGACAGGGTTTCGCAGAGAATTGACGTGAAACTGCCCCATCGTTCCAGGGTTCCCTCGATTGGTGGCTACGAGACGAATAAAGAAGGGAAACAATTACTTTCCCCGTAAAAGATCAAATACAAAAATTTAAAAGTTTACTCCTAATGTCTAATCTCTAAAAATTTACGATAGTAGTCACACATCTTTTTGTCTTATCGTTTTGATTATATTTTATTTTGTTGTTTTATCAAGAACAAATTTGACTGATACGTCTAAAGATAAATTTGGTTCGTTTTAGTTTCCAATAACTTAACTATTTATTTATCTGTAATTCACATTGTTTATTTCTACGGCTGGAAAATTCTAAGATTTACTTATTCCCCGTCAAGGTGAAGTTTAAACCGTTTTGTCACTTTATTTTTATTATAAAATTACTTCTTCCGTTAAAAATTTCTAGTGTCACATATGCAAGGTGACATATCCAAGAATTGAGTCGGTAGTTTTTGCTTGACAGACTACTGTTCTATTACTAAACTTAACCGTCATCCCGTAAAGATCTCGAGACGGGAAAAAAGGCAATGCTGGTAAGAGCTAAACGTACCAGCTCCACTTCTTCCTCAGTATCGACAGGTTTGAGCTTTCCACCTGGCAAGACAAATTTCTGTCCGGGCAAACGTAGGTCGTCCAGCACCTTCACCAAGTAAGGCGTCTGCGCTAGACACTGAAGTACAGCATTGAAGAAACAGGTGTTTCCTAGATTTGCTAAACCCTGTTGCATAATTAAATGATTTCTTTATTATCAACATGCATTTCGTACATCTTTCTCTCCGTATTACATTGCAGTATACGTTAAACAAGAAATTGCAGGATTTCTGAGATCGAAGAAAGGTGCAGCGATGCGAGGTTAAATCAGACGAAAAAAGGTATTAATTTACATACCCCGACTTTAGGAAGATTGTTCAACATTTTATGCTTGTCCTTCTCCTGTACGTCGACTATCACCTCTTTTTGGCACTGATTCGCTGGCATATTCGATTGCTGAGATACTTGTGGTATGTTGCCACACTTTTTGATAAACTCTACGGTTTCTAACAACTTTTTCCTAAAAACAAAAACAAAAAGGCGAAACACGTTGCAAGCGAGCACGTCTAGAAACACGCTCTTTTTACGCCGAAATGGTTCATCATTTAGCTCACCTACTGTTCGGATGAACCTCAATTTCGCACTGGTAGCACCAGACGTTCCAATGGTAAGAGTCCGTCGCCATGCAGTGGCAGTCGCTGTGAGGCTTCCTGTAGTGCTCGACGGCGTGCTGCTTCTGCTCCTTGCCGCAGCCTTGTTCTCCACACTGCAGGCAGATCCACAGAGGCTTGGGAATATCACACTGCAAAATTGAAATTCAATTGAGACCTCAGTACGCCATCCGATTGAATGATCGTGTCTACATTCAGTCGCAACCTCTTCCGTCGTCTTGTGGTCCGCCTCCAGTTTCTTGCACATGGAACACTCGTTCAATATGCCAGTCTTTTTCAGGTTCTTCTTCACTTTGTTCAGGTTGATGGCCTTCGCTATGTGCGGACATCTTGCACCTGCTAATAGTCGATTAATATCGCTCATTAGGAGCCAGTTTCACAAACATCGGTTGACTGTTAACTAGGGTTCAGTCGACTCCCCATCTTTTTCCATCTTATCGTTTAAGAAGAGACAAAGAATCAATTAACCTTCGGCTAGCAGTTGACCGACGTTTGTGAAACTCGACCTAACGAGGCCCGATTTCACCAAACGTCGTTTAATCTTACAATTAGTTTAATTCGCGTTTGTCTCTAAAGTGACAGTTGGAAAAAGAACGAATTAAGCTGAACTGAAACAACGTTGCTGAAACCGGGCCCCAAGTAAGATACAGCTGTAAATTTGACTTAGATGTTCCTTTACAGATTTTATCAAACAGACGTTCCATGTCTTGATTGTCTTAAATCACAAAATCTGGTTTGAAATTATTGACTGCCGAGATCTCGGCTTTTCGGGCTATGAAATTCCCAGATCGCAACGTTTTCGTGTCTCTGACTTTCTCAGCTGCTCGACTCGCTCCTCTGTTCTGAGTGAACAAAGAAATAAACAAAGAAAATACGAAAACAAGCAAGGGACGGACACTCTGCGCGTAAAATACGTTAAATTGCGGGATTCGCCTGTAAATTACTGAACGTTGGAATTTCAGTTCCCGGACCTCGAAATTTCCAGACCGTAATGTTTTCGTGTCTCCGAATTTCTTCGCTACTCGACTCGCTCCTCCGCTTCGAGCGAACAAGAAGCGAACAAAGGAAATACAAGAAACGAGCACGAGACAAACACCCGTGTGTTTTGAATTGTGTCAAATCGCGGGATTCGCTTTTAAATTACTGCACGCCGGAATTTCGGCTGCCCGGACCTTGGAATTTCGAAATCGCAACGCTTTGTACTCGCCGAGTCTCCGCTCCTGCGCTTCGAGGACTCAACGGGGGACCCCGAGGGACCGGAGCACGCGAGAAGTTCGAAACAAAGGAAAAGACGGGGTTTGAAACTTTCGTCTCCTCTCCTGCCCCCATACCCGTCCGCCCTACCGACCGCCCGCGGCGATCCCGGCGGGGACGAGGAACTCCGGGGTGCGGAGGCGCGAGTTCCTAACCTGCGCTCGCCTCGTCGCAGGACTCGGTGGAGGCCTCGCTGACGTCGGGGTTCGCGTCAGGCTGCCTGTTCCGCTTTTTGCTCATCTCGCCGCCGCGCCAACCGCCGTGGACGTTGCCGTTGTCGCGCGCCCCCGTGTCCGCCACGCCAAATATCTCCCCCTCGTTCGTCAGCTAAACCCTGACGTTTGCGTGAGTAAAAAAAACATGTGGAAACTCCGTCCGTCCGTCCGCCCGCGCGCGCGTGCACCGAGTACACACCACCACTAATGCCGCGCGCGGAGACGCGCACGGGTGTACCGCGATGTGCCCCTGCGTACGGTGCAGGTGCCTACGTTGATTATTAGGGTGCTTTCACATGGTGCGTAAATTGCGTAGCGTAACCTGCGTATCACCAATCACAGGATCATGCTGATAGAACCGTTTCAATATAAAGCCCGCTGCAGACGATGCTATTTTTTCTGCTGGATTGCTTGCAATCTTAAGCCCGCTGCAGACGATGCTATTTTTCCTGCTGGATTGCTTGCAATTTAGTAAATTACTATCGTTGCACCATTCAGCACTCAGGATTCCTAGTAATTTAGTAAATCGCAAGCAATCCAGCAGGAAAAATAGCATCGTCTGCAGCGGGCTTAATTCCGTTGAACTAGTCCTGTGATTGGCGATACGCAGGTTACGCTACGCAACTTACGCTCCATGTGAAAGCACCCTCAGCGGGAGACATTGGCCGCGTTCAGCAGACGCAACTGTTGAGTGAGCGCTCAGTATGATTGGTTAATACTTTTAGATCCAGCCAATCATATTAAGAAATCACTGAGCGCTCACTCAACAGTTGTGTCTGCTGAACGCGGCCATTGGCTGATTTGACATAGCGATTACTGATTGGCCGGTCCGGCGGAAATCCCGTGCGCCGCGCGCCGTGAGTGGCTGCGGTCGAGCGCAACGTGGTCGTCGGGACGCTCTTGATTCGTCGACGCCATGGACCTAAGAATCTCTGGACCGAGCATACGGCGAGGGGGCTGGCAAATTTGCGGTAAGGGGGGCGAGAGTGCTCTCCTTTTCTGTCCTCTTGGACCTCTCTTTCTACAAGAGGTCACAGTGACCTCTTGTAGAAAGAGATACCATGAGATACCAAGAGGACAGAAAAGGAGAGCACTCTCACCCCCCCCTTACCGCAAATTTGCCAGCCCCCTTGCCCGTTCTCCCACTTCGTGCTCGGTCCAGAGATTCTTAGGTCCATGGTCGACGCCGACGGAGTGCACCGAAGTGCAAGTCTCGCGCTCTCTCGGTTGGTCGCCGCCATTTTGGACGATTCCCTCCGGCTTCACTTCCGGTCCCTTCTCCATCTCTTTCTCGTACGTTAGATATTCGTCTCTTTCCCGTTCTTCTCGCCGCTTTTCGCCATCTTGCTCCGAGCCTTCGTGCGCGTTGGTTTGCACACTTCTGCGTCTCGTAGCGAGCAAGCGAGTTTTATTCGAGCAAAAATGTTGAACGTGGATATTGCGGGAACGTCGGTGAGATGCAGCCTCGACACGCCGATTTCGGTGCGAGAATTAAAGCGAGGAATCGAGGATGCAACGGTAAGTTCGCTAATGTCGAAACTTAACCTTAAAATATTTTGGAGCGTGGTCGCGCTCGAAGAAGCTTAAGCGCCTATTGTTGGTTTCAGTATTTAATTACGATTGAGCGCATGAGTTTCAAGGAATTTTGAGAAATATCTCGCTGACGTTAAGCTAACCTAACGCTTGAAAGGCGTCCCCACAAAAGGGTAAACTTAAAGAAAAAATGTAGCGTCGTCCACAATACGTGGAGTAAAGGGCATTCTACGATGAGTTGCAAACGTCTTGTTGCCAGTTGAAAAGGATGGCAACTGCTAGTTACAAAGTGCTGTTTCCTGTTGCCAGTGGCAGTTGCGGTTGCTATACAAGAGTTGCTCAACTTTGAACTTAAGGGTCTGAGCACAAAGCAACTTTGGCATACGCATACGTATGTCGTACTCACCTCCAATTACATATGGCGGTTACTTTTACACCAAGGCTTGTGCTCTATCTACGTTTACGCTTGCGTCTTTGTCGTAAGCTATTACGTTGCTTTGTGCTCTGACCCTAAGCCTGGCGTAAGGAGCGAGAGAGAACCGTAACCAGAGAGACACCTGAGAGCGGCCACGCCGACGTTTTACTTCATACAGTTTCGGAAGACTGTTTCGCGCGCTCTTTTTTACTTTTGCAACTGTTTCATTACGCATCTGCTGACTCTACCGATAGATATTTCCACTTGGTGCATGTCTATGCTATGCATCCCGACATCTAATTTGTAAAATTTACATTGTCCACATGAGAAAAGGTGATTGTAAATATCATGCAGATAATTTATGTTAATGTAATTTTGAATTTTACAGCACAATCCTGAAAAATGGGCGTAGCATGGACACGCACAAAGTGGTGACTGTCGGCAGTGTCAGAAGATGCATCGACTTTAGCGCAGTCATTAGAGTAATAACGATTTTCCAAATTTTGTTTTTATACAAAAAGACATCAAACTTCAACTTTTTACGTTGTACTTTTATCAGAGTCTAAGGAGATGAAGGATTTTACATTTATCGATGATAATGTTAACAAGGGAGTATCACCGATTCATTCTTGCTTGCAGAATCTTTCACGCGATGAGTATTACATCCTGCACAATGGTCGGCTTCTGCAAGAAGGTGACGTCTGCCCGGACGGCCATGCAACTGTGGTGCCGAGGTTGCTGGGCGGCAAAGGTGGTTTTGGGTCGATGTTACGGGCGATAGGCGCGCAGATCGAGAAGACCACGAATCGCGAGGCCTGCCGAGATCTCAGCGGTCGCAGGCTGCGCGACATAAACGAGGAGAAGAGGCTGAAAGCCTGGATTGAGAAGCAGACCAAGAGGCAGAAGGAGGCGGTGGAGCGCAAGAAGAAAAAATTGGAGAAGCTGTGCGCCGAGCCGAGGCACGAGTTCAGAGATCAGCATTACGATAAGGAGCGCGCAGAATTGACCGAGAAAGTCGAAGATGCCGTGGAGGAGGGGTTCAAAGCCGCCGGTCCGTCGGGCATTAAGAGGAAGCAGGAGGAGGAGAGTAGTAGACTCAATAAACGCAAGACCATGTTAGACATGGAGATCGACTCCGACGAATTTGAGGATTCTGACGATAGCAATGAGGAAGGGCCACTGCCTGTAGAAAGAACCAAGTCGAAGGAGGAAGCGTCGGCGAACGAGAGCGGACATTCCAGCGACGATGTTGGAAGTGGCGAGCGCGTCGAGGAAGTAGAGAGCGAGCATTCCGAGTCGTCGATCGATAATCAGATAAACGACAAAGTATTGAGTAGTGACTCGGCGGGTACAAGATGTATCGTCGAGTCTCGAACGTGAATGTATAAAAGTATGACAAAAGAATATCTGTATTTTACTCGCGGCGTCCTCAAGTTAGATTGATTGCTTTATATCGGTTTGTGTAATAATAGCTTTAAAGAGTAATATAAGAAATTAATTTTTAACGTATTATGTAAGTTTTTAGTAGATAATTAAAGAAAGTAAAGCGAGGAGAACCTAACGATGTGAAGTCATTTATTTTAAGCAAATTTTGTGTGATAAACTTAGTATTGTAATGCATTATAATACATTGCATATTGTTTCAAACGACGATCTTTAATTTCTTCGACGAATTTCCCGATACTATCGAACAACGATTCTCGATAGGCTCCATGCGTTCAATTCCCCGGTGAGCTTTAGTCCGATTGCAAATAAAATCGCTGATGCGACGATCGATCTTAAGAAATCATCCGTGAACAGGTACTCGTTCGTCCAACGATAAAACTCGGTGATGTATCTCGCACTAATAAGAACGAAATTGTCGTTCCTTGCGTGTCTCTGTAGAGTTCTTGACTGTGCTTCATTTAGTAAAGTTTTTGGGAATTCAGAAATTGATAAACAAAGCTAAGGGCAATCGAGCTTAGTCACTCAGTAAATTATAGAACAAAAATATACGACGTAGCAAGTTTGCTTATAGTCACCAGTAATGAATAATATACGATATGTTGCAAATAACAGTGACTTAATTGTTAAATATATCCCAGGTGATTGCTCGCGTTTACGAAAAAAAAAACTGATATTCCCACTTTAAGGGCCACTGTAACCAAATCCAATTAATTTTAATCGACGATTAACTCAATCAACAGTGTCGCCGACATGAAGACCTGTTGTGTGTGTGTGTGTGTTGTTTTTAACTTAATCTTTTTGATGCATGGAATAACTGTGATCTCACGTATTAAATTAAAATAGCCTTCTTGAAAACATACATCTTTAACATGGATGAAATTGTTAAATTGTTATGTCAGTGGAACCTATGAGTGCAATAGGTTACTAAAAGATAGATTAAGAACGACACACCGAAGTCTTCATGTTGGCGACACTATTGATTAAGTTAATCGTCGATTAAAGTTAATCGGAGTTGGTTAAAGTGGCCCTAAGTATAAAAGTATCGGGATAAATATTGTAAAGATATAAAATATAATAGGCAATATATTTAAAAGAAGCATGCTTACATCTCGCGAGAGCTCGTGGGCAAATGTGACGACGTGGTTTGCAGCAAGCTTTGCAAAATTTAGACTGGAAAGTTGAGCGAAGTTATCAGACCTGATTGATTTCAAATTTGTCTCGTAGCCTTTGCGTTTTATTGTTTGAGATATTTACCCTGTCGGCGACATTATTACGTGCCATTTTCAATTTCGTGCGGATATTAATTTCGTTTAAATTTGAAATGATAGAACGGAACGATGTAAGAATTTTATTTGCAAAACCGTTTCACGGAACCTGAACCTGAACGGTCGTTTTTTTGACATCGCGACTTGTCAGGCAGGATCTTAAACCAGGAGACAGCAGATGTTTATTTTATTCATATCGATCTGTGATATCGTGTTCTTGTAAATTCATTTCTCTTTTCTTATGAACCGATTCTTATGAATCTTAAATTTAATCTTTTCCACGGCTAGTGCAGTGCACAAAAGAACCAAACATCGTAGAAACTGTTATAAAATTTATAATATAGTATGCAACATCGCCATTCTCTTTTCGTTTATGTCAGAACCTGTTTTCTTGTACGACGATAACAATAGGCATCCTGCAGCTGTTGCTCGACGTGTCGGTTACCTGCAAACTTACAGCTTTTGCCATTCTTGTTCTCTAAAACCGACAATCCTAGTCAGATCTTATATTTAAGATCGTCTCGAATTTATCTAAAGATGCTGTATGGAACATTTTATTGGCTATGGAGTATCTAAAGATGATCTTAAGATGGACTTGAATATAAGATCTGACTATATACCGGCCTAAATCAATCAGTGAATTATCACTGAAAACAATAAATATTCACCGATTCAGTTAAAAGTATAGCACCGAATAATTCAGTGATAATACACCGATTTACTTTTAAAGAGCGTGAATTAACAAGATCATCGGTGTCAAAAACAATCATATTACAATGATTTGCAAAAACCGATTTTTTATCTCTACAAATCTTCCGTCTCCTATCTCCTTTTCACCCATGTATTTAATTGCGCAGTTCGTACGTCATATCGACAGTCTGAGATATCACGCGAAATTTTTTTACTACACATCAAAGATACTTCTTATAATCCAACTGTTGTTTCGAGCCGTTTGTAAGAATTACAAGAGGAGGGAGGGGACGTGTTCAAATGTCAATTTCATGAGTAATCACGATAGCCCGATGACGCATACCGAGCAAAGTGCGTCATCACATTACATTGAAGAAAGCAACACGCATCCATTTATAAATGTAGCCTTTAAGCCCGACTATACTGTAATCTCGCCTGTATCGCCGCCCAAATAAAGTCCGGTCGAAGATACTTTTTCACGCTTAAAAATTTTTTATATAAAAGCATGTATGAATTTATGAAATTATATAAAACTGTGTAGAACTGGCTCACGCACGAAAATTTTTTCTCGGGAGCGTGTTGTAGATTACGTTTATTTATTTCTTATAAAATTATTTTTTATAAACAAGTGCCAAAATATAAGAATTCAGTGCTATACTTGTAACTGAATCGGTGAATATTTACTGTTTTCAGTGATAATTCACTGATTGACTTGGCCGGTATTCATAGTCTTACATTCAAATCAGATCTTAATTCATAGTGTTATATTCAAGTCCATCTTAAGATCATCTTTAGATACTCCGTAGCCATTGAAATGTTCCATACATCAGCTTTAGACAAATTCGAGACGGTCTTAAATATAAGACTAGGATTATCGGTTTTAGAGAACAAAAATGGCGAAAGCTGTAAGTTTGCAGGTAACCGACACGTTGAGCAACAGCTGTAGGATGCCTATTGTTATCGGGGGATCTTCTTTAGAAATATATCATAAAGGGTGTCCCAAGGAAATTTCCAAGGAGACAGGTATAACTGTTCGAAAGGCCGCATACCATCGCTGCGAAAATAGAATGGCAAATGGCAAATAAAATGGGGAAAATAATTTACTTTGTTCCAACGACCACCCAGATAGCACACATAGTCCTATGAATATTCTTCTGGAGTGCAAATATTTTTAATTCCAGAATATTCCGTAAATATACAGGGTGTCCCATTTTAACTTTTATACATTTATCTTATGCAAAAGGCAGTGAACCAGCGATCATGCAATATACATATAACCGACTCGCTATATTCGATAGATTATTCTATTCACATTCGAAAAAGATTTGTAGTAGTGCCAGTCGAATATTTCACGAACATAAGATACATACAGGGTGGTCTAAAAGTCCCGGAACGGTTGAATATCCCGAGAAATTGTGGATGGATCGGAAAACGGAAAAATACGTATTTTCCTATTTTTGAAAGAGCTATCGAATGATACCAAAATTGACTCCCCCACCCCCACCCCTGTGGGTGGGGCGGGGGACAACTTTAAAATCTAAAATGGGAACCCCCACTTTTTATAACTTCTTTATCTTGTTATGGCACCCGGCTCCTGTATCGAGCCGACACAACCGCGACGAACCAATAGTCTTGACTTGATGGTATAAATCTCTTAACGTGCAATCGCGTTTTTAATGTCACACAATGCAGAGGCCCAACTACCGAGCCTCGCGCGGGATGATGCAATCCCGCAGGATCAAAAATTTTATCTTCCGTCGGAAGACGTGTGAACCGCTCAACGGCCCAGACGGGACTCACTTTTTATAACAGATTCGCATTCCACGTTAAAAAGTACGTAAGTTTTGTCTGAAACATTTTTTTATTTGCCTAATACTTTTTGAGATATTCAAGAGAAAATTTATAACTTTTTCAATGTTTAGCTTATGATATCTCGTTAACTATTTGTCAGAGGGAAAGTAGTACAGGACTTTTTTACCTGATTTAATCTCAGGAATATGCTGTTGCAATAGTGCTCCAATTATGGAAAATTTGTGTGTATTGTACCATCTCTACCAAATTTACATACATAAAAATTTTCAATAATTAGAGCACTATTGCGACAGCATATTCCTGAGACCAAATCAAGTAAAAAAAGTCCTGTACTACTTTTCCCTCTGACAAATAGTTATCGAAATATCATAAGCTAAACATTGAAAAAGTTATAAATTTTCTCTTGAACATCTCAAAAA